TTTGCTCCTCTGCTATATGAGGACACAGCAATAAGGTGCCATCTTGGAAGCCTTGAGCAACCCTCATCAGACACCAATGTGGCATCTTAATCTTGGACTTCCCAGCCTCTAAAACTGTGGGATATAAATTTGTGTGTTTTTTATATAAATTATCTAGTTTCATATGTTTTCTTATAACAGTACAAAAGGACTAAGACAAAGCCCAAAAGAAAATAGATTACTCATAGATGTAATCCATCACAGCCATTGACAAGTTACACACACACTGGCACTGCAGATGAAGTCATTATTTCAATAGCTAACAATAAAAAAAAAACTTGCAAATTTGTTGTCAGTGAGCTCCTTTAAAGCAATAATTCGACACTCCAATAGTGACATCTACTCCGCGTCAATGGTCCATCCTTTCCAGAAAGAATGGTCTGTAATTTCCTTTCCCACTTCCACATTTCTCATATACTCTAATTAGGTAGGCTTTTAAATATGAACTGATACAGCTACACCCTCTTTAATTCTATTTTCCTTTCATTTTCAGTGGTTACATTATCCAGAGCTTGATGATGATCATTCTATGCATTTTTTTAACTTGAGATATGCAACTATCCATAAAGAATATATAATAGTATTTGGAGTTTTATATAATAGTATCTTACTACATGTATCCTACAGCTTGGATTTTTCTTAAAGTTATTTAAGGTTTATCGATTTCCATGCCTATTACTGTAGATCATTTATTTCAACAGATTTATAGCAGGGATCAGCAAAACATGTCTGTAAAGGACTAGAGAGTAAAAATCTTAAGTTTTGCAGTCATATAGATTTTTGTCACAAGAACTCAGCACTGCTGCTGCAATGTAAAGGTGGTCTTTATCCTGAAATAACAGACATGTGACTACGTTCTATAAAACTTAATTTATAAACCCTGAAATTTGAATTTCATATAAGTCCACATATCACAAAATAGTTAACAATTTTTTTATACCATTTTAAAATATAAAATCCATTCTTAGCTTATAAACCATACAAATCAGACAGTGGGCCAATTTGGTCCTTAAGCCATAGTTGGCAAACTCCACTCTATCCATTCTGTTACCATGGTGTATTAATTTATTTCCTTCTTATTGGACATTAGTGCTGGAATTTCCCCTATGATTTTCTACATAATCAATATATTTTGCTAATTATTTTGTGGGTAGTTTATAAAAATGTTTATTTTCTATTTTGGGGGGATGAAATACTACATATCTCTACCTGAACACCTATATCTTAGACAAAACTCGCTAAGATTGTTCTTTGCAATTTTTTGTATACTTTCCAGTGTCTACTTGATCAATTCATTTCTGATAAAGATATGTTAAAAATCTCTATGATAAAACTGTTACTTTATAGTTCAATTAGCTTTTGCTTTATATATTTCAAAGTTACGCAGTCACAGACATACAAGTTGACATTGGTATATCTTTATAATGGATCGTTACTTTTATTATGATGGAACATTCATAATTAGCCCTTTTGACATTATTTGCCTTAGTTCACTTTTACCTTCTGTTAGTATTGTTCTCAGTGGTCTGCAGTCCAGTACCTTTCTTTTCAAGCTTTACAAGTGGTACAATTTTGAGAGTGTCACTTGTAAGCAGAAGGATTGTTTACCATTTTGTAGGCAAGTTGAAGCCAGTTCTGGCATGGGGGTTAAAAGTATGTGCCAGACCACCTGGTTCCTGATGTTGGTTCCTCCATTCATCTCTGTGTGACACTGAGCAATTTTCTTAATCTCTCCAGACTTAATTTTCTCAGTCTGTAACAACATTGAGGATAACATAATAACCTCATTATTAAGTTACTGTGGGAATTCAATGGGACAAAGTTCTTAGAACAGTGCCCAGCATGTAGCACACCTAGTAAGTGTTAGCTATTTAAAAATTTAATTGTGATTTTTCATGTATTAGGTCTCATTTCTACTGCTGTTTTGTTCTCTCTTTATCATCCTTTTCCTTTGTTTACTATCTCCTTTTCTATCAATGTCCCCCTTCTATTTCCTTTATTTTTGAATGACCTATACATTGTACATTTATTCTTTTTGGAATCATACTTGAATTTTATGGTTTTATTGAGATATTGCTGTACATTTTGATGAGAATATATATATCTGTGTATATAATAATATATATGTAGTCATCAAATTAATCAGCATAATTAACATTTCCATCACCCCTGCACTGTGTTTACTTAGGTTGTCTATTTGGCATCCATTAAATACAGGGTCAAATAATGGCCAAGTTGTTTACATCTCCCCTGTGACCCTGAACCCATGTACTGAACCACCTCCTTATCTAACTCTCACATAGTAAAGGCAATATTTTCCTGCCCTAAAGCAACTCATGCTCAGGTCACAGACATGTAGGGACAGTTTATTGCCAAAAGCCCACTAGAATTATCTAAACTAGCCAGTCCTAAGTGTTTCCCCTTCCTGCTCTGCCTTTCCCATAGAAACCCCAATAAATGCTCTGGCTTAGCCTTTTCCTTCCTCTTTCTGCTTCTCACCAAACCTGTTGCTTCCTTATATGACCTAGTATGACACTGCATACCCCCTTGTCTGGGAGAAAGATCCTTCTTTCTCTGATATTGGCATCTCTTTGTTGTTACTTAGTCACTTTCATTAATTAAAACTCTGTGGGTACAAATTGATACAACTCTCAAAAGTTTTCTCAAGTCCCTTTGTAATTTTTCCCTTCTTATCCCTCCTCCCCTACTTTCTAGGCAGGCATCGGTCTGGTTTCTGTCAGCACAGATTAATTTATAATTCCTTGAATTTATATAAATAGAATCATATACTACATATCCCTTTTTCTGAATTATTTCATCCAGAAAATTATTTTTGAATTCAGTAATGTTTTGCATATTTAAATAATTTTCCCTTTTATTTTGCTAGTAATATTCTCTCCAATGGATATTATAATTTGTTGATTCACACATTTGGTGATGGACATTTGGACTATTTCTTATTTATACCTACTATAAAGAAAGTTGCTATGGTCATTCGTAGATAAGTTTTCATGTAGACATATGCTTTCATTTGTCTGGTGTAAATAACTAGGACATAAATCTCTGTGTTATATGATAGGTGCCTAGTTAACTTTTAAAGAAAATGTGTAGTTCAAAGTGGGTTGTCCAACTTGACATTCCCATMATCAGTGTATGAGAATTCCAGTTGTTTTGCATTCTTACTGATCTTTGGTATGGTTAATCTTAAATTCTAGCCATCTTAGTAGATATGTAGTGATATCTTATTATAATAATACATAATATATGTAATAATTGCCTTAGTTATATCTTTAGAAATAAAAATAGTGTTTTCTATAGTTAATAATTAAAGAGACCTTTAAAAAAGTATCCTATTGTGCTCATCAATATTTTTGCTCCCATGTCTTTCCTCCGGGTTCATTTTTCTTCTTGCTGTAATATATAATTTCATAATTCCCTCAATGAGGTTCTGTGGGAGATCAATTTCCTAGTCTTTATGTATTTTTATTTTGCTCTGTCTTAAATGACAATTTAGCTGGTACTAAGCACCTTAAAGATAGTGTCTTCTAGGGTCTATTGTTACTGATAAGAAGTCTAACTTTAGTGGAATATCTGTCTTTTCTTTTTTTATAGTTATTAAGAATATTTCCTGTTTTCACATTCTGCATKTTTCTTTGCTGTATCTAATTGTAAATTGATCTGATTTAGTTCTGCTCAGAACAACCAACATGCTCATGATGTAAAAACTTGACTTTGATTTTGCTATTAGTTATTTCTTTTCATAAATATTGCTTCTCTGCTTCTCCTTTTTTTTTTTCTCCTTGAAATTCCTACTAGATTGTGAGTTGCTTAATCTGTCTTCTGTTTCCCTCAGCTGTATTATTTTATTTCATTGTCGTATTGCACTTTGGATGAGTTTCTCTGTTCTGCATTTTAAATCACTAATTACATGTTTAACCATGTCCAGTTGAAAGTTTTGAGAAGAAAAATTTATAACCCAAACCAAGCCTAGTCCAGGGCCCTTCATATAGGAGCCGAGCAATAAATATTTACCAATCAAATCAACATAAAATTATCTTACATATTTGATCATTTAATTAGTTACAGATATACTAGTTAATTAAAAATAAAATATCACCTTTTTATATAAGAGAAAGATACCTCATAAACAAATTTGCAACTTAACTTTTAAGGCAGCACATAGCAATATTCTGGGAACAGAAACAGATTTTAAATCTATGCAAAGTTAGAATGTTTTTCTTGTTATTTGGCTTTAGGGGTACCTAGGCTTATTCTTCTTTGGAAAATTTTTTGGGATATGGTAGAATCCTTAGGTTATGGACTTTCCAATGGACCCTTAGTTTCAGATTGTTCTAGTATTTGATAATATTCATTATTCTGTATATTGTAACTTTATGATGATAGAACCCTCATCTAGTACAAAGGCAGGAGTGTCTCTGTTGCACTTCCAGCACTCTATTTGCTGATGCTCAGCATTTTGTGTTGTACATAGCAGCACAGAGATGGAGGCAGTCTGTTTCACAAGCAAGCTATGCTCTTTTTTAAAAAAGTAAGATTATTTATTTTTGTTGTTTGTTTAGTTGTCAATGGACCTTTATTTTATTTATATGCGGTGCTGAGAATCAAACCCAGTGCTTTACACATGCTAGGCAAGCGCTCTACCACTGAGCCCCAGCCCCAGTCCCGCTATGCTCTTTTTATATTGAAAATTTTCTCAGTTTATACATACCAAATGAGAATTGAGATACCTTCCATTTCTTCTAGCTATAATCTGGTGTGTATTTATTAGGTCAGGATTCACAAAGTACCTAAGGAAAGATGTTAGAATCCTTTAAACATGTAAGTATGTCGGGTCACTTGACGTAACCAGTTAAACCAGTAAGAGCCCATAAAATGGTTATAGCTGTGGAGTCTAATGATCAGAAAGGGCCATAAGCTGATTTGTGGATGAACTTCCCATGATGAGCCTGACCCTCAACAATATTGTTTCTTCTCTGCAGAGAAGTGGAACCTTTATCAACTCTTTGATTGCAGTGTTGACTATTGGTGGACAACAGCTGTTCTCTTCATTCACTTTCAGATGTCCCTGTCAAGTAGGAAAAAACTTCTATTATGGTTCCGCCTTTCTTGTCATTCCTGCTTTGATCCTTCTGATTGCTGGCTATGCTCTGAGAAACCAAATGTGGACAATTACCAGTGAATACTGCTGCAGCTGTGTCCCCCACCGCCGGAACATCAGTCCCTTGGAGCGCAGCCTGGCTTGCCTTAGGATATTCAGCATCACAGGGAGGGCGCTTGTTGCACCATTAACATGGCTGGCGGTGACCCTGCTGAAAGGCAATTACTATGAGTGTGCAGCAAGTGAATTTGCATCTGTGGACCATTACCCGGAGTTTCAAAATGTCACTGCCAGCAAACGAGAAGAGATCCTAGCTGGCTTTCCATGTGACAGGTCAACTCCTTCTAATGTGATCCTAGTAAGAGATGAAGTAGCTCTTCAGCACAGGTACCAGTCACAAGTAAGTTTTTGATTTTTTTTTTTTTGGCATGCTATTCCATAATTACTATAATACTGGAAACATCTCACATTTCTGCTACTTCTAGTATTGTCTGATTATGGAAAAAAACTAGATTCCATTCATCAGAATGAGTTCCACTGAGCAGTTGCATAGATTGTAATTAGGACATTGTGCTTTGGAGTTAGCAAACTGGGATTTAGTCTTGCTTTGCCATTCATTAGCCTGAAAAAATATGATTAAGTTATCTATGTTTCACTTTCCTCATTTGTAAAATTGGAGTATTAATAGTATTTACTTCATAGAATTGTTGTGAGGAATATATGAGCAATATATTATATATCTAAAATGTAATAAATGATGAATATATCATACATCTAAAATAACATGCCCCGCCCTATGAATTTATATTAAAAATAATGAATTTTTTGAATATGGTGAATACTGTATTGTAAATCCCAGCTTGCTGCATGTATGTTCTCACGATCTTGCTTAAAATTACAGGAAGCTTAATTATGATTTAAATATCTCCAATGATGCTTTTAAATTTGGTCAATCCATGGACAGGTTTGTGTCAAAGTATAGGATGGAGTGGGAGGAAAGCTTGAATCTACTACATTTATAGATTAAATTTTAGAAGTACAATTTTGCATTTTGTCAGGAGGGAAAAAGTCATTGCCTCCTATCAGTCTCTCCAAGGGATTTGGGAAAAACATACTTTCAAACCACTGTAATACAGTAAAAACATATTTTTTAAACCTCTTACTGCAAAGACATATAAGATTTCTTACCTAAAGACTTTCAGTTATTAAAACTGAGGAATGCTAATGCAGTTTAATTGAAAAAAACTATAATCAAAACAGACAATACTGAAGTGTTGCAATATGTTTAAGAAAAGTTAAAAATCCTAATAGGTCTCAATTTGTTTTTTGTCTTTTTTTACACTAGCCCTAAAAGTCAGGCAGAGAGGAATCTTGTGAAGCTATGTGACAAGTCAAAAAATCAGTAAGACAATTATAAAGTTAAAAAAATGTTCTTGCTTAAGAAAAACTAAAATATAATAAAGATATTATGGTAAGATTTTCTTAAGGTCAAAATAAAATGCATACACAGATTACTATGAAAAAGATCATTTTACAGTTCAAAGTACCATTACCAGTAGGTTTTGCTTTCGTGACAACAAAACATATTTTTAGATATTTATCATCTAGAGTACTGTATAAATATTTCATGTCTCCACTTTCTCATCATATCGAGAGGTAGATGATATTAACCCCATTTTACAAATGAGTTGCTAAAGTTCAAAGAGTTTATATAACTTGTAGATGTTCACAGAGCTAATAAATGGTTGATTAAGATATCCAGAGGTCATGCTGTTTCCATTTCACCAGGTTGCCTTCTGCAACCACTTTGAACTTCATTGTCTTTTGAAGAATATATGTTGCTTTTCAGTTTGAGTTGTCTGAGTTGACCATAAGGTCTTATTAAGTTAAAATTCCTTCTTTGTCCATGTCCCATTGTAAAATACCTCTGATATTAGTTTCACCCATTTCAGTCTATCTTCTACACACATGCCAAAAGTATCTTTTAAATGTAAGTTGGATGGTGAGGTCCCTCTCCCTAAAGTCCTTTTTCTACCAGCCTAAGCAGAAATCCAAATTCCTGGCATTACATACAAAGTCCTTCACAACTTCTTCTCTACGACTTCTCCATGACTCCTATGAACCTGCAAATACAAGTTTCTTGTAGTTCTCCCAACTSTTCAGGCTGTTATATTCCTGTCTTCTTTCCTTAAGAATTCTCAACTTCTTGCATCTTGTGAACTTCTTTTATTCTAAGTCTGAATACACTCGTCTGGCAAGTGTTCCTGATGTTCTTCTCCCTAAAACAAATTCAGTTCTCTTCTATTGTGCTCCTTTGGTGCCATGTTTACTCATACCAGAAACGATCACATTGTGCTCTCTTTCAGCTTGCTTATTAATCTCTCCTTTTGGGTCTAAAGACTATAAGGAGAATAAATCCCCATTTGAGTCCCCATTACCAAACACCACAGGCTGCATAAGGTAGAAAGTCAAACTGGAGCTTGATCATGGACATCTAAGATGACATTTCTGCCACGATGCTGGCCTCTATTTGGTTAAATTGTTACAAATATAAAACTGTAGATTTTAGCCTCTATATAGGCTAAAACTTGCACTGTGCCATCCTAGTCACTCCAGGCTTGTAGTCAAATGGCAAGATACAGAAGAAGTCTTCATTGCTCAAACTGGCTGCATACTGTTGTACTGTTGGCTTCCCTAAATGTGGGGAACTTGTCTTTCTTAATTTATTTACAAAGCAATTGTTAAATATTAAAAAATAATAATAAAAAGAAAAAAATTATTCTAAGACTAGAAAACATTTATGTGGTCTTTAAAAGCATGCACTAAATACTAAATAGTCCACTTGAAAATAATAAGGTACTACAAGCTGCATTGACTATACTATCCATAATAAATTTAGAGACTTGAGTTTCCTCACTGTCTTCTTTGGTTGCAAAAGAAAAGAGGAAAGAGCAATACAGGAAGAAATATCAATGAATACTTGTTGGCACATGATTGAAGACATTTTGGGAGGCTACCATTATTGTCTATCATACTATTATTTTTATCACCATCATTACCAAATATTCATTAAGCCCCCAAGGAATGAATGGGCCTGTACCTGATGATTTGAGAAGTAAGGTTGAGCTATAAGCAAAGAACAATGTTTATGTAAGGTTAATTGATGGGTTATGGCGTCTATGACTTAAAGAACAGTACTTTAGAATCCATTCCATGTTAACTGGTCGAATTCCTTTGTAATCTGAAAGCCAAGTTGAAACGACTTGACCTGTCCTCTCAGATTCATTTCCACATCCAATGATCAGCTCTTGTTCATGTATTAGAGACTAGAAAAACAAAGTTTATACCCATACTTAAATTCTCAGTTTTGTAGGAATCCCTCTTGACATGGCTGTTTCTTGAATATTTGATGTATTGATGTTTTCTGTTTTTCTTCCTAATAATTATATGAAGATGCTGGGCTGGATTTTGATCACCTTGGCAACAATTGCTACCTTGGTCTCCTGCTGTCTGGCAAGGTGCTGCTCTCCCCTCACCTCTCTGCAGCATTACTACTGGACCAACCACCTCCATAATGAGAAAGAGCTTTTTGAACAAGCCGCAAAGGAGCACTCCAGGCTTCTCATTGGGCAGCGCATAAAGAAACTATTTGGCTTCTGTCCCGGGAGTGAAGATGTCAGACACATTCGTATTCCTTCATGTCAGGACTGGAAAGATATTTCAGCACCTGGTCTTCTATGCATGGGTGACACCTCACTGGGGCACTATAGCTTTCTTGGAGACAGGGTGGTTGAGGATAATGAAGACAAACCAGATGGCATTGAATTAAAACCTTGATAATAGCACCTTTAACAATTCAAGTTATTTAACAGATATTTGACTTTATGATGATGGAGTTTCAATGCAATCTCTTCATCATTTTCTCTCTCCATTTAATATTTGTTGATAGAAGTTCATCCAAAAATACTATTTCAGAAATCAGTTTGACAATTGTGTCCATCTCTCACTTTTTAAAATTCATTGATGGTTTGGTAATGCCTACAGTGTCATATTGATCTAATAAAAATATGAAATTTTAAGTCACATCAAAATTTGCCTCTTTGTTCCATTATTTGCTATTTGTGAAAATTAAAATTTCTGAGTGGCATTTTTTTTATCTCCACATGTTAGCTACCTCATTCAGCCATTGTGAAGACTAAATGTAATAACATCAGCAATATGTTTACTGCAGCACCTTTCATAAAGTATTGATAAATTTTAATTTTTCTCTTTCCCTTTAAACTCTATGTCTTCTATCATTGTTTTCCTTACCTCTAATTTCTGACTTTCTCTATTTCTACCTTTATATAATATCTAGAAAGTTTCCACTGTCTCTTCCTCTTTCCTAAAATCTGAATATCTGACCTATTGGGAAGAACAATAAAATGCCTTGCTAAACTAATAACATGTGAAGAAGGTCTTCGCTCATCCTGCCATAATCCGGAGGAAGTGATGCCTTACGGTATCATCATTAGTATCATACTGTTATTTATAGCATACTACATATTCTGAGCATTTTAATGGCCACTACATACAAGGATTATTCTAGAAAACTTACTCTCTGTGCTCCACTACAGGGGTCCCATCTGTGCCTTTTATTTATCAAATTGCACCTTGCATTAGAAGTCTGTTTGGGAAACCAAGACTACTGTTTGTTCTTGTTTATCCATTACTATAACACCAAAGGGGAAAATATGTCCCTCCTCTGCCTGCCTTTGCTATGTGATTTCTAGTATTTGACAATTTTCTAATTTATCTTGATTCTTTTTTAATATTTTTATTAGTGCATTATATGTAGTAGTGGGATTCATTATGCCATATTTGTATAAGCACACAAGATAATTTGATCAATATTTCCCAGTACCATCCCTTTCCCTTCCCTCTTCCCTCTCCCTCATCTACTCACTCTACTGATAGCCCTATTATTTTTATTCTTATTATTACTTTAGCTTGTACATTGTAATTGCGTGTATATATGTATATATATGTAGGTATATATACACACACATATGTGTATATATACACACACATAGTTGTCAGTAATATATATATATATATATATATATATATATATATATATATATATATATATACAGGACTCATTTTAGTATGTTCATGTATGGACAGACCAAAATTTAGTAGATTTTGTTCCCCCCAGTACTTCCTTATTCCTATGACCTCCCCTCCTTCCTTCCTCTGGATTCTCTTAATCTACTCTACTGGTTTTCCTTCTATTTTTTGTGAGAAATGCCCCCCCCCCACACATTCTTTTTAATTTTGAGATTTTTTTTCTCTCTATGGCTAGCTTCCACATATGAGAGAAAACATTTGTCCTTTGATTTTATGAGTCTGGTTTATTTCACTTATAACCATGTTCTCTAGTCTCCTCCATTTACCAGCAAATGACATAGTTTCATTCTTCTTTGTGGCTGAATAAAACTCCATTGTGTATATATACCACATTTTCTTTATTTATCTGTTGATGGGCACCTGGGCTGGTTCCATAACTTGGCTACTGTGAATTGTGCTGTTTTATTCATTGGTGTGTATGTATCACTGTAGTATGCTGATTTTAGCTATTTTGGATAAAAACCAAGGAGTGAGACAGGGGGGTCATAATTCTTTCTTATGTATAGTGTCTCATGTCTGATTTTTTCATATTTACTGAAGCAACTGGCTCATGGGCTAAAATGAGCAATCTGATGGCTTTCATTTATTCATTTCCTTAGCCAAAACAATGATCTCTTACTGTCAGTGGGCCAAACTGCCAATGGTCAACTTGACTTAGAAGATTCACTTTCAAGGAGAACAAATAGCTTGATTATCTAAAATTCAACCAATTTCTTATTAATTTATTTTTATACAATTATGGAGGATTCTATTTTGTGTCAAATGCTGGGTCCTTCAATTTAACAAAACAAGTAAAAATGAATTTTTAAGGAAACAAAATGTTTTCAGGCTTTCACCCCAACAAAAGGCTGTTCAGTGTCATATTTTGTAAGCACTGATGACTTGTGCTGCCTTATCATTGCTTATTAGTAATTTAGCCTTGTGCAACTCAGTTCATCTCTTTAGCCTTTCACTGTTTTACCTGTAAAATAAGGATAATGGTGCCCTCTCTTCTGGAAGGCAAGGAACTGAACAAATTCCTGAGGTCTTTTCCAGATTGAATGACTTTAATATTTATGTTTATAGGTATACAGGTCAATATGTACACATCCTTCTGAAATGAGTAGGACCAGATTGCTTCTCCTGGAAGAAAAATATTACCGAGTTTGATTTTGAGCTTTCTCTAAGACAGATACGGGCATTCTACTTTTAAAGAATGATAATGTACTTTTTGCATGTGTCTAGGAAAGTTGTTCTAGCTTATCAATTAACCATATACTCACTACATTGCAAGAAAGACAYTAAAAACAAAATATGTGTGTCATGGAAGGAAATTAGGATTCTAGTTCCCTTTGCTACATGAGCTGGCAAATATGGAAAGTCTCATCCATTTCTTCCTCAAAATTCTCCTCAAGCTTGAAAATTCTATGGCTATATTTACATGAGAGGTTTTGAAACTTCTCTGTAGTAGGACTTGCTACAAAATCAGCCCTTTATACCATGCTCAGAATTAGTTTATTGGTTTGCAGGAACTGTACCACAATAAAGACTCTCCAATAGGATATTMAATTAAGAGCAAAATCAAACAATGTATGAAGTTTTAGCATACATCATCAGAAAGAAGATTAATAGTAGCTTATATACCTTAATAATAGGAAACTTTGTCTCTATTGGCTTCTGAAGCCCTTTCTTCATAAACTCTTTTGGACTATGACATATGAAGTTTATATTTTGAGCAAGTTAATCATGCTCTTCCATCATAGCTTTCTGGTAAAGGACAATAGGCATCCTTTGCTTCTTCTAAATGGCTTCAAAGTACTTCATAGAATCTATATGAACATTTAAAGTGTAGGATACATCCTTGTGTTTGCATTATATGTTATCCACTTCAAATGAAAGACTTGAATTCCCAGTTGTTTTTGTTTTTATCTAGAGTATTCTTTTGTCCCACAGTCAGTTAGGTAATTTTTTTCCATTAGAACATGGTACTTCCTCCCCTTTAAGCTTAGTGGATTTGTGTAATTATGAAACATATAATTAAAATTAATTATGTGCTAATACTACCTAATATTTTGCTACCAAGTGCTTTTGGCTACCACATCAGATTCTTTGGCTTGGCAAATAGAAACTTGCTGACTTCTTAACTTCATCTTTGTCAGCTCCTCCACTTCCCCACCGCAGTCTAAACTGCCTCCTTCCCAGGAACTAAATAAAGCCAATGTTTAGGTATGTTTAATTTAGATTTCTTTCTTTTCCAAAGCTGAATTGTATAGCATTATAAATTCTATCATCCTCTTTGTTTCTTCCCTCTGTTCTCAATCTCCAACTCTGTCTTTAAAAAATATTCATTTATGTTTGTAATAAGAAATACTAGTGTATTTTACCACCTATATGCAAAAGGAAAGCACATTAACCATAAATTTTGACTTACCACAACTAACCAAAGGCCTTCTGAACTCATGATTATGTAGGTATTTGCTAACTCAAAAACATAAGGTGAAGAGACATAATTTTAGCTTCTAAAAGAGTCTATCAAAATTTAGCTCTAGTAAAGGAAGAACAGATACTGGCAGAATAAGGGGAGCAGATAGATGGCTGCTTGAGCTGGGGCAGGGGAGGCACAAATCCGTAAAATGTGACCCCTGGGTCAAAGAGCAATAGATAAACCTAAGAGCAATTTCCACAAAAGCAAAATTAATTATCGGCCAGATTATTTTTCTGAAGTAAGCACCAATTTGATTAAGCTTCTCTAGTCTCAGTGCACCAGAAATCTTCAGGAAGAAAACTGATTTCAAGTATGGCTTCCTCTGCTGCCACCCAGTGGTTAGTAGTGTTGTCTGCACCCACACCCATTTGTAAATGGGGATTAACAGGTTGAGCATTCTTAATCCCAAAATTAGAAATCTGACATGCTCCAAAATCTAAATTTTTTGAGAGCCAACATGATGGATTAGGAATATTAAGCCAGTAAAATATATGCAAATATTCCAAAATTCGTAAAGAAGTCTGAAACACTTCTCGTGTCAAGCATTTTGCATAAGAGATACTCAACCTGCAGAAGTAAAAATAATTAAGAGTGCTCATTATATACCAGCTACTATAAAAAGTAGCTACTTATAACAAAGAAGCAAACAGAGTCACTTATCAGAAAATAACTTGCTGGAATGACATTAAATAATGTAAATAATATGAAAAAGTTTTAAAAGTCCTATACAAATGAAATACTTTCCCACTTACATCTCTTTACTAGATAACCGGTGAATGGTGAGTCATAATTGGAATCCAAGTTTACATAACTCCAATAAAATAAGTTCTTCCATTTTATTAATGAGATAATTGAGATGCAGAGAAATCAAACAATGTGCCCAAGATCATTTACCTATAAGTGATGAAGCCTGAATCTAGCACCAGCAGGCTGAMTTCTTACCCTGTACTACATAGCACTGTGCTAAAATGTTGCAAAAGTAGCGGTTTATCAACATTCCAGGGCCTTGCAGTGTTGGGAGGATTTCTCTATAGTTCAATCAATCAATAAACCACCCTGAACTTCAACAAGTCAATGTCATAGCACATTTCACTCCGTCTTTCCACTTGTATTCTTGCATACATAAGGCCTAAACCTCAAGTCACTGTGCTTCTTACCATAGTGACTTTTCCACTCTCACTGGACCATGAACTTTAGACCTTATCTACTCAGTAAACAGTCAGTAGCACTGATTTTACTAACTTCAGATGAATCATATACCTGCCCTGGGTTCTTACATGTACTCTTTCTTATGCTGGGCTCAGCAGGGCAACAGTATAATCTGTGAATATGCTTTCAGTCATAGTTATGAAGGGTCAAAATGAGGTTCAGGGAAGCATAGTCTCCATTACT